TCGGATCAACCAATCATTACTCCAACTCCTCTGGCTCATGAGAGGAAATGGACGAAAGCACATCCCGTTGGTCAAATTATAGGTGATCCGAGTCAAGGTGTGCGCACAAGATCCGCCACGATGAATGAATGTCACTTCGCCTGTTTCCTAAGCCAGTCAGAACCATCAAAGGTCTCCGATGCACTACTTGATCCAGATTGGGTGATTGCGATGCAAGATGAAATCAATCAATTTGACAGACTGGATGTATGGACACTGGTACCCAAGCCACAGAAAAAGACTATCATTAGCACGAAGTGGATATTCAAAAATAAAAGGGATGAAGAAGGGACAGTTGTACAAAACAAGGCAAGGCTGGTCGCAAAGGGATATAATCAGCAGGAAGGCATAGACTATGATGAAACGTTCGCGCCCGTAGCTAGAATCGAAGCAATCCGCCTCTTTCTTGCTTACGCGACGCACAAGAACTTCATTGTCTTTCAGATGGACGTGATGACAACTTTCCTAAATGGAACTTTAGAAGAAGAAGTCTATGTTGCTCAACCTGAAGGATTTGTAGATCCAAGATTCCCAGATCATGTATACAAGCTCAAGAAAACTCTCTATGGGCTGAAACAGGCACCCAGAGCTTGGTACGATGCCTTGACCGAATTTCTAGTTGATTCCGGTTTCTCCAATGGCAAGATTGATACTACACTGTTCATCAAGCGATGGAAATCTGATATTATTCTGATTCAGATCTATGTCGATGACATCATCTTTGCCTCATCCAATCTGCGCCTATGCCAACATTTCGAGAAACTGATGAAAACAAAGTTCGAGATGAGCATGATGGGTGAACTGAACTTCTTCTTAGGTCTGCAAGTAAGACAACTCTCTGATGGCATTTTCATCAACCAGTCAAAATATATTCTGGAAATGCTAAAGAGATTCAACATTGACGGCAAATCTTCCATGGCGACCCCTATGTCCCCAAACAATAAACTGGACTCAGACCCCTCCGGGAAGCCAGTTGATGCTACAAATTACAGGGCCATCATTGGATCTTTGCTGTATCTCACGTCAAGCAGGCCTGACATTGTCTTCTCCACATGCTTATGTGCTCGATTTCAAGCCAATCCGAAAGAATCCCATCTGACCGCTATGTGTCGAATATTAAGATACCTTAAAGGCACTGTGAATCTAGGCCTTTGGTATCCCAAGCATTCAGGCTTTGACCTAGTCGGATACTCGGATGCTGATTTTGCAGGTTGCCGGATGAACCGCAAAAGTACATCGGGAGCCGTCCAGTTCTTGGGCGAGAAGTTAGTCTGCTGGTCTTCCAAAAAGCAGAATTGTGTGTCAACATCTACAGCTGAGGCCGAATACGTCACGGCTGCTAGCTGTTGTTCACAAATATTATGGATGAAGACTCAGCACAAAGACTACGGTTACACATTCCGCCATATCCCGATCTACAGTGACTCACAAAGCGCCATCGCCATCACCAGCAATCATGTTCACCACTCCCGCACCAAACACATTGATCTGCGCTATCACTTCATCAAGGATCACGTGGAGAAAGGAGACATTGATATGTACTTTGTAAGCTCAGAGCTTCAACTGGCTGACTTGTTTACTAAGGCATTGGATGAAAAAAGATTCCAGTTCCTAGTCTCCAAGTTGGGCATGTTGAACCTCGAGCCTGTTTAAATTTCGTCTTCACTGGTCTGAAAAGTGTGTGTGTGGGACTTGTAAAAAGCGTGTGTGGGTGTGATCTGTAAACAGTGTGTGTGTGTTGCATGTGTTGAGGGGGAGAAAATCTGAAAAAGAACAAAAAATAGTGTGTGTGTTGCATGTGTTGAGGGGGAGAAAATATGAAAAAGAACAAAAAATAGTGTGTGTGTTGCATGTGTTGAGGGGGAGAAAATCTGAAAAAGAACAAAAAATAGTGTGCGTGCGCTGCATCTGTACATAGTGTTTGTTGCATTTTTTTTTTGGGGGGGGGGGGGGAGAAAAGGGACAAATTTTTCACTGTTTAAGGGGGAGCTCTAAATTTTACTGATATTGGGTCTAAAAATTCTTTTTCAAAAGGCATTTTGTGATAGCCCATATATTCGGGCTCAACTATTTCGAAAACGGCCCAGCCTTCTCGCATTTATAAACCCTCGCAAAACCCTTTCTTCCCATTCTCAAACTTTTTCGCAAACAGAGGCTCGGAATTCTTTTCGCAAAACCAGAGCTCCCAAAACTCTTTCGTCTTCTCCCCAAACATCTCTCCATCCCTCCCGTTTTTCACTACCGAAGGTAGTATAACGAGTCATCTCCTTTCTCTCCTTCTCATCTCCATCACCATCGCCTTCGACCTTGTTTCAAACGAAAACAATTTCTCGAAAAACGTTCGTAAAAACTCAAAAAACAACTGAACAAAAGGGTTTTCTTCGACTGATTGGAGGTCGAAATCGTTTATCTATCAGTTTTCGTATCTATTGTTTATGTATTTGCAGGTGGAATCGTCTTTTCGAGATTTATGATCTCGTGCTTCAGTTCTCCAGATCTCGAGTTCGTCGATTCATCTTCGAGAGAGATCTCGAGATTTGAATCTCGAAATCTTGATCTCGAGATTTGAATCTCGAAATCTTGATCTCGAGATTTGAATCTCGAAATCTTGATCTCGAGATTTGAATCTCGAAATCTTGATCTCGAGATTTGAATCTCGAAATCTTGATCTCGAGATCTGGATCTCGAAATCTTGATCTCGAGATCTGGATCTCGAAATCAAGATCTCGAGATCTGGATCTCGAAATCTTGATCTCGAGATCTGGATCTCGAAATCTTGATCTCGAGATCTGGATCTCGAAATCTTGATCTCGAGATATGGATCTCGAAATCTTGATCTCGAGATATGGATCTCGAAATCTTGATCTCGAGATCTGGATCTCGAAATCTTGATCTCGAGATCTGGATCTCGAAATCTTGATCTCGAGATCTGGATCTCGAGATTTGGATCTCGAGATTTTGACTTATTTTTTCAAAAAGCCCACCTGCACCCAAAATCTTTCCAATCTAATCTAATGCAAACAAACAATGGATTAATATGCTGACCCCCTGCTTTTACAGTTCATAATGGCAGGAACACCTCAAATTCAGATTGACGACGCCATTACCCGAAGGGCAAGTGGATCAAGGTGCTGGATAACAACTTCCAGGTAGACCTCACCGTCTTCAAATGCCAGAACCCGGTCATTCCGGCCATAATGAAAGGTCACTATCTCTGGGCCGCACTCCACAACGCCAAACCAGTGCCAGAGATATACCTACAACAATTCTGGGGCCACATGCATACAGAATCAATAAAGGATCGCTCCAAGATCAAAACTAAGCTGAATGGCATGCGCGTAATCCTGACGCCATCTACACTGCGATCCACTCTAGCGCTGCCAGTCCACGACACATATGATGCGCTGCCATCCATTCCTGATCTTCTCAAGGACGTGGCAGCTCTCGGCTACACTTCACTTCTTCCGCTGCTGTCAAACTTCAATGGAGCCTATCTCCATCACCCGTGGAAGAGCATGTTCGGGTTGGTGAATAAATGCCTGTCACCGAAGCATGCCGGGTTTGACAAGTGCAACAAGAAGATTCTACTCATCTTTCACGGCATTGCATACAACAAGAAATACGACATGGCACAACTCTTCTTCTCAGAGCTCATGGACGTGGTGAAAGCGAAAGAGAAAAACAGGCCAGGTACCATCCCATACGCAAGGTGGCTGGGGCTGATCATCCATGACTGCATGGCAGAGCACACCTCCATTCTTAGACGCAGTGCTGATCCACACTTCACAGCCCCAAAGCTGCAATATTTCAAAGCGGACAAAAACCCTGTCACCGGTCTGCGGATTCCTGGGTTCCTGCTCCAACTCGCCAATCCATCCAATCCGGAAGTCCAACAGTACCGAGAGAGCATTGAGAGAACTGTCCCTATGGTTCAGCAAAACCCAGCTGGACCTACCCCGAGGACAAAGCCGAGTGCAAGTAAGGGTCCTAAGCAAGCCCAGAAGCCACAGAAACCAGTGGCCGGTTTGCCCCATGAAGGAAAGTCTGACGACTCTCTCGAGACGAGTCAGACGGCTGAGGGCACTGAAACAGACGCTGAGGAATCTGCTGATGAATCGTCCAGTGATGCCCAAACTAAACTCTTTGAATTTTTTTATCTATAATATAATGAATGTTAGATATATAGAATCATATTATTAAATAAAATTGTATTAAAGAATGAAATCATGAACATGATCTATACTTCATTTTTAACACAATAGTATTATATTCCAGACGAGTACCAACAAATTTTGTGGCACTGATAGACAATTTATAAGTCCTCGCAAGTGCACGAGTCACGGTAGTGCAGTGCTCAAGTAAGGGTCGAATCCACGGGGAAAGTGTAACTATGTAATTGAAAAACTATTAATAAAAATAAAATTTTAATTAATCTAACTAAAAAATGAATTTTGAATTTGTTTGATTTGAAACTGAAAATTAAAGCTTGAATTAAAATGGATGCAAGGAATTTAAATGAATGAAAATAAAATGATTAAACAACTAACAGAAAAGTGATTGAGAATTTAGCAAGAGAAAAGATAGTTCAGGATTATGAATCTGTCACTAATTTTTAGTATTTATGATTTAGTTAGTCAAGTGAAATTGAGGGTTCGTTCTAGACAGAAATATGACTATTCCGTATGGCGTCCAGAATAAGTCACGTACTTTAACTATTAATCAATAAGAATTTATTAATTCAATAGTTAAAATCCATTAATCACAAAAGAACTACGGAAACCCGATTTAAGAACCAAATAGATAACTTAACAAGACAGTTGAATTATCTATTCTTTTATCCAAAAGAGCTCGAATTAATAGGCATGGCATGTACTCTATCAATCCACTCAAACAACTTAATTAATCATATTAAAGTGTGCCAGAATTTAACATAATTAAATTAAGCGAATAAGATCAATGGATAAAACTCAACCAATTGACATAACTAAAATCACAATTCATACTAAATCATAGCAACTTCATCATGTTCCTGGACTTAAGAAAATTTAGCTACTCATACTAACATAGGAAATTATTAAAAAGAATGGGAACAAAGAGTTCATTTTGATCATCTAAACAATCAACAATAAATGATTGTTGCCAATACTCAAGTGCTTAAACTAAAGCAAGTTTACGAAAGAAATAATATGAAGAAAGTTTGGAACACTAGCTGAATCAAACCGCAAATTTTCTAGAGGAAGAATTCTGAAATCGATGACTTTTACGATGCCAAGCGACTTCCTTCCCAGAATCTGGTCTGCGTTCCCCGTCCGGCTTCGGCTCTTTTCTCCGCAGCCAGATTCCTCCTTGCCTTCATAATAGATGGAGAGTCCCCCCAAAAATAATAATAGAGCAGTCCCTAAAACCCTCCAGCTTCTTGTTTTTCTTGGGCTTTTTTTCTTCTTTCCTTTTCTTTTTGGGTTGCTGGTGCGTGGATTAATGAGCCATCTCATTTTCAAAAGTGCAGCCCCTCCTCTTTTCTCACGTATGAGGTGGGATATAAGCCCATTTATTTTGAAATCTTTACAAAACAATCCCTGAACTTTAGCTCCAATAAAAATGACACAATTCTTCTTAATTCAGCCCAATGAATCCTCGAAACCTTCCATTAAAACCCCTGCACTCTAAAATTCATTTTTAACAAAAAAATATAAGTCAAACCTCTCAATTAGGCAAATGATAAGCATAAAATTGTGATAAAATAATACAAAAATGAAGTACAAATTCCAGCTCATCAAACTCCCCCACACTTGCATTTTTGCTTGTCCTCAAGGAAAATTAAAATCAAGAAACTAATTCAACAACAAGTGTTCAAAATTCCCTTTCACTCACCAAGCATTCCAACAAACCCTTCCATGACAAGATATTCCCAAGAAATTAGAATCAAGTATCCACCACAATGTCAAACTAAAAAGTCAATCACCTAGACTCACATGTCATTAATAGAGATGTATTTTACAATTCTAAACGACCTAGTGAAATGCTCAAGTAACTTTCCAGAAATTATGTAAAGTTCTAAGCCAATCAATCAGCACTCTATAGTCATCTCATGCTATTCCTTCCACCTTATCAAAGCACAAACTTGATCAAGATTACTTAGGACTTTTATTGGGGTTGTAACGTGGCCATGGGGTAATGATTTAAAGAAAGAAAGGATGTGGGAATTCAAATAAAGGAGGAGACATTTCCTATACCAAAATGATCATAGGAAGAGTTCAATATATGACAAAGGGAGCAACTAAACTCTTACAACAATCAACCGGCTTCTAAGATAAAGAGATACAAATATGGAGCTCAAAGAATACAACTTCAACTCACTTCTTCACTTTTCAACTTTCAATTTTTTTTTTTTTGAACTTTTTTTTTCTTTTTTTTTTTGCAGTTTCAAGTCAACTGACATCTCACAAGAATCAGCACCAACAACATTGAACCCATACAAAATGCCGGGAATAACAAAGAAAAATGCTCCCCAAAAGATAAACTCTTCCAAGTCACAATTTAAGTATAAGAAAATGTCAACTCAAGGGTGTGGGATACATTTTGGCTATCTGGGCTCGGGGTCAACATTGTTGGGTAATTAGAAAGAATTATCAGTCAAAAGCATGGTAGAATGCTTTAAGACAAATTAGGCTCAAAGGGGGTAGCAAGTGGAAATAAAATGCAATGGGTAGGCTAAAAGGTTTGGGGCTATGAAAAATGGTCTAGATCATTTCTCAATCAGTTTGCACAATAACTCAGCTTCCAAAAGAGCGACGAGACAAGTTCTATCATGTTAGCTAAAAGATAAAGGAGTCACACTCCTCCCAAGAAAGTTAAAGATGCATCCTAAAAGGTCATAAAGAATTGAGAAATACATCTAAATGAATGGCACAAGAAGCTAAGAAATTGACTCCAAGTAAGAACAATGTGAAGAACTCAATCAAATTCAAGAGAAAACTTATCATGGAGACCACCAATCATACCACATACCAATGAAAGGGAACTTGTCCCAACTTGAAGCCGAAAAAGTAATCCTGAAATTAAATTTCCCTCAAATCCAAGCAAGAAAACAGTTTTTTTTTGGAACTAGAATAGAACTAAAAAATGAGAGCTACTCCCCCCCACACTTATCTCAAGCATTGTCCTCAATGAAAGATTAAGAAACAAGAGAAAGGTGAAGAAGAACTCCCTGAATGCACAGCAAATTAGAATTGAAACATCTTGAAACGTAACCTGCAAAACTAAGAAACAAAGAAAGAAAAGAACAAGATGGGGAGGGGAGGAAAAAACAACAGAATTAAGAAAATGTTTTTTTTTCATATTAAAACTATGACTAGACACAACATGAGCAACGATTTTCCCGAAGCTCAAGACACTCAACTTGCTCAACTACATCTTCACTTCTCAAATATTGTTTCACTCGCTGATCGTTCACCTTAAAAACATTCCCAGATTTGGGGTTTTCAAGCTCAATCGCTCCATGAGGAAAAACTTGGCGAATTAAAAACGGTCCAGTCCACCTAGATTTTAACTTCCCTGGAAAAAGCCTTAAACGAGAGTCATATAACAACACCTCCATCCCAGGTTTTAAATCTCTCGTCAAAATGGATTTATCATGAAAAAGTTTAGTGCGGTCTTTATAAATTTTCGCACTCTCATATGCATCATTCCTAATCTCATCCAACTCATTCAAATGCAATTTTCTTAACTCACCTGCTTCTTTCATATCAAAGTACAGCGCCTTGATAGCCCAGTAGGCTCGGTGTTCCAACTCTACAGGCAAATGGCAAGGTTTACCGAAAACTAACCTGTATGGGCTCATTCCAATTGGAGTTTTGTAGGCTGTCCGGTAAGCCCACAATGCATCGTTCAGCCTATTAGCCCAATCCTTGCGTGAAGGATTCACAGTTTTTTCCAAGATACCCTTAATCTGTCTGTTACTCACCTCAACTTGTCCCGAAGTCTGTGGATGGTAAGGTGTTGCAATCCGATGCGTAACACCATACTTTTTCAGCAATCCTGCAAAAATCTTGTTACAAAAGTGGCTACCACTATCACTAATGATAGCCCTCGGTGCCCCAAACCTAGCAAAAATCACTTCTTTCAAAATATTCAGCACCACTCGACTATCATTAGTTCTAGTGGCAATAGCTTCAATCCATTTAGACACGTAATCAACTGCAACCAGAATAAAATTAAACCCAAAAGAAGTAGGAAACGGGCCCATAAAATCAATACCCCAAACGTCAAACAACTCTACAACCAGATTATTCGTAAGAGGCATCTCATGACGTTTGCTAATATTCCCTACTCTCTGACAACGATCACATTTAGCACAAAAAGAAATTGCATCTTTAAAGAGAGTAGGCCAATAAAAACCAGATTGCAAAACTTTAAATGCAGTCTTTTTTCCACTAAAATGCCCACCACAATTTAAAGTATGACTATGATGCAAAACACTTTCTTGTTCATGTTCAGGAATGTAGCGCCTTATAGTCTGATCAGGGCAGATTTTAAACAAGTAAGGTTCATCCCAGAAATAATGTTTCACTTTGGAGAGAAAATGTTTTCTACCCTGTGAATTTAAATCGGGATGAAACTTACCAGTAACCAAATAATTAACAAGATCAGCATACCATGGCTCTTTGTTCATCACAGAAAACAAACCTTCATCGGGAAACCTGTCGTTAAGAGGCATCTCTAGCTCTTTCCCAGAATATCCAGTCTGATCAGGGAGGCGTGATAAATGATCAGCCACCACGTTCTCGTTTCCTTTCTTGTCCCTAATAGACAAATCAAACTCTTGCAACAATAAAATCCACCTAATCAACCTAGGTTTAGCATCCTTTTTCAGCAACAAGTACTTCAAAGCAGCATGATCAGAATAAACAATCACCTTAGATCCAATCAAATAAGACCTGAACTTTTCTAATGCAAAGACAACTGCTAACAATTCTTTTTCAGTTGTAGAATAGTTAATCTGTGCATTATCTAAAGTTGGACTAGCATAATAAATCACATAAGGCAGCTTGTCAATTCTTTGACCCAAAACAGCACCAATTGCAAAATCAGAGGCATCACACATACTCTCAAACGGATATGACCAGTTCGGGGCAGCAAGTATTGGGGCAGAAGTTAATTTTTCTTTCAGCACATTAAAAGCAACAAGACAATCATCATCAAAGCTGAAATTTGCATCCTTAGCTAACAGATTACATAGAGGTTTACAAATCTTAGAAAAACATCAATTTTAGCCCTATCAACTTCAATCCCCCTGCTAGAAACCACGTGACCCAAAACAATCCCTTCTTTAACCATAAATTTACACTTCTCCCAACTAAGATTCAAATTCATTTGAACACATCTTTCAAGAACTAGCGACAGATTATGCAAACAATGATCAAAAGAGTCACCAAATAAGGAAAAATCATCCATAAAAACCTCAACAAACTTCTCGATCATATCAGAAAAAATAGACATCATACATCGCTGAAAAGTACCAGGAGCATTACATAATCCAAAGGACATTCTACGAAAAGCGAAAGTTCCAAATGGACATGTAAAAGTAGTTTTTTCTTGGTCTTCCGGAGCAACCGGAATCTGATTGTTGTAACCTTGGAAACCATCAAGAAAACAATAGAACGCATGGCCAGCCAAGCGCTCTAACATTTGATCAATAAAAGGTAAAGGGAAATGATCTTTTTTAGTGGCTGCATTTAATTTTCTATAATCAACACACATCCGCCACCCTGTGGTAACCCGTGTGGGTACCAACTCATTTTTCTCATTACTCACGACAGTAATCCCAGACTTCTTAGGCACAACTTGCACAGGACTAACCCATTTACTGTCAGAAATAGGAAAGATAATACCTGCATCGAGCAACTTAAGAACTTCTACTCGCACTACCTCTTTCATATTCGGATTCAGCCTCCGTTGAGGTTGTCTACATGGATTAGCACCTTCTTCCAGCAAGATTTTATGCATACAAACAGTTGGACTAATTCCTTTCAAATCAGAAATTGCCCAACCAAACGCAGCTTTAAACTTCCTCAACACCTTAAGCAACTGCTCTTCTTGTTCCTGTGTCAAGTCAGATGCAATAATAACAGGAAAAGTACTATCACACCCTAGAAACACATATTTCAGATTAGAGGGGAGGGGTTTCAGTTGCACTTGAGGTGGATTTTCAACATGCTGATTTTTTTCCAACTCACAATCAGCCACTCTTTCCTCACTTTGCACCTCAGTTTTGTCCAAAAATTCCCTCATCTCGCTCACTTTTTCATCATCAAACTCTTGTGCATCAAGAGTCAAAGCAAGCTCAAGCTCATCTTCCTGTAAAATACTCAAAGGAACAATAGAATCAAGCATATCAAGTGCAAAACATGAATCAGAATCTGCCGGCATATTTATGGATTTCAAAATGGAAAACTCAACAGTTTCATCAAGTACACTCATGGTTAATTTTCCATTTTGAACATCAATCATAGTTTTAGCTGTGGCCATAAAAGGTCTACCAAGTAGGATTGGCATATCTTTCACATATTTGCACTGATCACTCATATCTAAAACCACAAAATCAGCAGGAATAATCAGCTTATCAACTTGAACTAAAACATCCTCTACAATGCCCCTAGGGTATCTTATAGAGCGGTCAGCAAGCTGCAGGGACATTGTAGTGGTTTTTAGCTCATTCAAACCTAATTTCAAATAAACAGAGTAAGGCATTAAATTAATACTCGCCCCCAAATCAAGCATAGCTTTTTCAGATCTAGAATTCCCTAAAGTAATGGTGATAATAAAACTGCCAGGGTCTTCTAATTTTGGGGGCAAGTCCTTCTGTAAAACAACACTAACAGCCTGAGAAACAAAAACCTTTTCATTTGGTTCATACCTACGCCTTCTAGTGTTTAATTCTTTCAAAAATTTAGCGTAGGCAGGCATATTAGTTATCATTTCAAGAAGAGGCAAGTTTACATTAACTTTGGACAACAAATCATAAATCTCATCAAAAGATTTATCAAACTTGGAACTTTTTAACCTGTTTGGAAAAGGAGCCGGTGGCACATATGGTTTAGGCGGAATATACGGATCTTTTGCTTTGTGCAGCCCGGACTCTTCGTACACCGAATCGGCCTCCACTTCTTTCTTCTTTCCAGCCTCTACTTCTTGCTTCTTCTCAGCCTCTACATTCTCCAGTAGCTTGAGAATGGGCTGATCTTCGTTTTTCTGAATTATCTTCCCACTCCTAAGAACCGTGACTGCTTTGGCCTCTTCAGATTGACTTGGTAGCTTCCCGTGTACGTGTCCTTGGAGAGATTCTGCAATCTGCCCAACTTGTACTTCTAGCTTCCTCAAAGAGGCATCAGTGCGCTGAAAACGCTGCTCATTAGCTTGCTGGTTGCTGCTACAAATTTGCATAAAGTTCTGCAAAGTGTCCTCCAAAGATGGCTTCTTTGGTTCAGGAGGTGGTTGGTTGCTTTGTTGCGTATTTGACCATGAGAAGTTAGGATGATTCCTCCAATCGGGGTTTTAGGAATTGGAGAATGGATCATTTCTTGGCCTCTGATTGTATGAATTCATCATATTAGCTTGTTCAAGACTAGCCTCCGGCATTTCATTCACTGCAGCGGCAGATTGATTCATCGCCATCATCGAACACATATTCTTCATTTGCTTGGATAGCTCGGATATTTGGATTGCCAATTCTGTACTTGCACCAACTTCGTACATTCCTTGAGTCTTCCCACGAACGCTCCTCTGTTGGGAGTTAGCTCCAAGCATCTCGTATAGTTCTAAGGTCTGCTCTGCAGTCTTCTCTCCCATTGCTCCACCAGCTGCGTTATCAACGATTGCTTGGCTTCCTTGGGTCAACCCGTCATAGAAAGTCTGATTCTGGAGCGCTAGTGAATAGCCGTGGTGTGGACATTGAGTGAGCAGCATTTTAAATCTCTCTCACGCCTCATGGAATGGCTCACCCTCAGCTTGAGTGAAATTGGCAATTTTTCTTCTCAGTTTTGAAGTTTTAGACTGAGAATAATACTTGCCAATAAACTTGTTGTAGACATCAGCCCATGTGCGCAACGAACCAGGTGTTAAAGACATAAACCATGTCTTCGCAGCATCTTTTAGAGTGTAAGGAAAGCACCTCATCCTCAGATCATCTTCAGTCACTCCTTGCAAGGGAAAATTCTGGATGATGCCATAGAAATCTCGGATGAAGATCAGCGCATCCTCAGAAGCAAGCCCATGGAAAGACGGCAATTTGTTAAAGTGAACTGTCTTCAGATCATAATTCCGGGCAGCCTCACTCAGTACAATGCAGGACGGGGAGGCACCAACAGTTGGCCTCCCAAACTCTTTCATCAGTGTAGCGTCACCCATTGTTGAATTAGGAGTAAATTCGAGCCTCCTTTTTGTTCGTTTGCCAATTAAATCTACTTGGTCGTTCAGCGATATCAAATCTGGATTAAGAGACCTGCGACCAAGCATACAACAAAAAAACGAAAAAAAGAAAAACAAACACAACTAACTAAAATAAAACTAAACTAACAATTTTTCAAAAACTAGTTAAACAAATTCCCCGGCAACGGCGCCAAAAATTGATAGACAATTTATAAGTCCTCGCAAGTGCACGAGTCACGGTAGTGCAGTGCTCAAGTAAGGGTCGAATCCACGGGGAAAGTGCAACTATGTAATTGAAAAACTATTAATAAAAATAAAATTTTAATTAATCTAACTAAAAAATGAATTTTGAATTTGTTTGATTTGAAACTGAAAATTAAAGCTTGAATTAAAATGGATTCAAGGAATTTAAATGAATGAAAATAAAATGATTAAACAACTAACAGAAAAGTGATTGAGAATTTAGCAAGAGAAAAGATAGTTCAAGATTATGAATCTGTCAATAAAATAATTTTTAGTATTTATGATTTAGTTAGTCAACTGAAATTGAGGGTTCGTTCTAGACAGAAATATGACTATTCCGTATGGCGTCCAGAATAAGTCACGTACTTTAACTATTAATCAATAAGAATTTATTAATTCAATAGTTAAAATCCATTAATCACAAAAGAACTACGGAAACCCGATTTAAGAATCAAATAAATAACTTAACAAGACAGTTGAATTATCTATTCTTTTATCCAAAAGAGCTCGAATTAATAGGCATGACATGTACTCTATCAATCCACTCAAACAACTTAATTAATCATATTAAAGTTGGCCAGAATTTAACATAATTAAATTAAGCGAATAAGATCAATGGATAAAACTCAACCAATTGACATAACTAAAATCACAATTCATACTAAATCATAGCAACTTCATCATGTTCCTGGACTTAGGAAAATTTAGCTACTCATCCTAACATAGGAAATTATTAAAAAGAATGGGAACAAAGAGTTCATTTTGATCATCTAAACAATCAACAATAAATGATTGTTGCCAATACTCAAGTGCTTAAACTAAAGCAAGTTTACGAAAGAAATAATATGAAGAAAGTTTGGAACACTAGCTGAATCAAACCGCAAATTTTCTAGAGGAAGAATTCTGAAATCGATGACTTTTACGATGCCAAGCGACTTCCTTCCCAGAATCTGGTCTGCTTTCCCCGTCCGGTTTCGGCTCTTTTCTCCGCAGCCAGATTCCTCCTTGCCTTCATAATAGATGGAGAGTCCCCCCAAAAATAATAATAGAGCAGCCCCTAAAACCCTCCAACTTCTTGTTTTTCTTGGGCTTTTTTTCTTCTTTCCTTTTCTTTTTGGGTTGCTGGTGCGTGGATTAATGAGCAATCTCATTTTCAAAAGTGCAGCCCCTCCTCTTTTCTCACGTATGAGGTGGGATATAAGCCCATTTATTTTGAAATCTTTACAAAACAATCCCTGAACTTTAGCTCCAATAAAAATGACACAATTCTTCTTAATTCAGCCCAATGAATCCTCGAAACCTTCCATTAAAACCCCTACACTCTAAAATTCATTTGTAACATTCAACATGATTCTAGTTGAGATATGAAATCTTGATCATTTTATAGTTTGAAAAGTAACGAGAATTCTAATGTAAAACCAGAAACGGTGCAAAGATGAATCATTTCTGATCCAAATTATATCTTTCTTTCAAAAACCCATTGTTGGGATATTGGGCCGCAGGCCCAATACCCAGATCCAAGGCCCAAGATATCCGGTCCGTTAGACGGGCCCATCATCCAAAAAATGAACCAGCTCTTGGGAAAATATGTACCGAACGAGGTTCGGATCAATTACCATACTTGGGCCAGAACATTAATGGGCTAGATCAATGATAACTCCAGATCAATGTACCGAATGAGGTTCGGTCTAATCGACGGACTTGGGCCAGATCAATGAAGATTCCAGCAAGGCCCTCCCGGCCATATCTTTTTATGTACATCCGGATTTATCGAATCGTACACTAAAAACCGATAAGCACTACTATTTTGTGCATATCCAATAAAAATACAGTCCACCGTTTTTTGACCTATTTTTATTTTCTTAGGTGTTGGTACAAGCACTTTTGCCAGACACCCCCACACTTTTAAATATTGATACGAAGGCCGTCTGCCTTTCCACAACTCGCACAGAGTTTTATCATATTTTTTCCAGGGAACCTTATTTAAAAGATAATTGCTTGACAAGCCTGCTTCGCCCCACATATTTTGTTGCAGGCCCGAACTTACTAGCATCGCATTCATCATATCTTTCAATGTGCGATTCTTTCGTTCGGCAACACCGTTTGATTGAGGTGAATAGGGTGCGGTACGTTCATGTACTATACCCACGCTCGCGCAAAAGTAACTAATTGGTGCTTCATACTCACCACCTCGATCACTTCTAACCGCTTTAATCCGTCGATTAAGTTGGTTTTCCAATTCATTCTTATAAAAAATGAATTTATCGATTGCTTTGTGTTTATTTTTTAATAAATAAACGTAGCTATAGCGAGTGCTATCATCGATAAAAGTAATAAAATATTTATTACCGCCACATGTTTGTATTGATTTAAAATCACAAACGTCACTATGAATTAATTCAAGTGGTTCCATTTTTCTTTCAACCGATTCGAAAGACGTTTTCGTTAGTTTTGCCTCTACACAAACTTCACATTTGTGCTTCACATCAATTGTGAATTTAGGAGTGTGTTCCATGTTAATTAATCTACGTATAGAATTAAAATTAACATGTCCTAGTCTACCATATGTCACACATTAGAAGACTCAAGCAAGTAAGCAGAAGGTATTTTATTATTATTATTATTATTATTATTAATAGTCATTACATTGAGCTTAAACAGCCCATCAACTGTATATCCCTTGCCCACATACATTCCCGATTTAGACAAAACTAATTTGTCCGACTCAAAAACCATGCGGAAGCCATGCTTGTTCAACAATGAGCCGGAAATCAGGTTTTTGCGTATCTCCAGAATGAACAGCACTTGGTTTAGAGTCAGCTCCTTGCCCGAAGTCATCTTCAGGACCACCTTGCCCACGCCTTCAACCGCGGAATGAGCCGAGTTTCCCATCCACAGCTTCTCACCATTTGATGGCTCAAAAGTAGTGAATAACTCACGGTTTGAGCAAATGTACCGGGTTGCACCGGTGTCCACGAACCACTCCTTGGAATTGGATCCAACGAGGTTGACCTCGGTCACCACAGTCACAAGGATGATGTCTTCATCCTTTTGCCCACCTTGCACCAAGTTGACTTGAGAGTCCCTCTTCTTCTTGGGTGCCTTGCAATCCGCGGACTTGTGTCCGTTCTTGTTGGAATTGAAGCATTTTCCATTGAATTTCATTTTGGAAACGCCTCCCTTGGGACCGAGCTTGCTCTTCCTATTATTTTTATTTTTGGAGCCTTTAGCATGCTCCACCACATTGGCCTTGGCTCCGGTAACGATTGAGAGTTTCCCATCGTTCTTCCGGTTATCCTCTTCAATCCGCAGACGGAGGATCAATTGCTCCAAGTTCATTTCCTTTCGCTTATGCTTAAGGTAGTTCTTGAAATCCTTCCAAGCCGGCGGCAATAAATGGATAATTGACGCCACTTGGAAAGACTCACTAACTGTCAATCCTTCATCTCGAATTTCGTTAGAGATCATTTGTATTTCCTCAACTTGACTCAAGACCGTCTTCGAATCCACCATTTTAAAATCAAGGAATCGACCAACAACAAATTTCCTTGCGCCCGCATCCTCGCTTTTATATTTGTGGTCCAAAGCATTCCATAGCTCCTTAGCCGTAGCTAATTTGCTATAAACTTCGTACAAAGCATCATGCAGCCCGTTCAACACATAGTTTCGGCAAAGGAAGTCAGAATGCTTCCAAGCTTCAACCGCATTGAAAGATTGCGCATCCACCTCACCCCCAGTTGCTACCGGCGCATCTTCGGTCAAGAACCTAGCAAGACCGAGAGTAGTGAGGTAAAATAGCATCTTTTGCTGCCACCTCTTGAAGTACAACCCATTAAATTTTTCGGGTTTCTCCGCAGAGTTGCTCGGCACGGTAACCATAGGGATTGCCCCTTGGTAGCCCAAAGTAGATGCACCACGTTGTGAACCATTGTTCACCGGTGCTCCACTTTCAGATTGATTATCGTTTGGCACGTTCTGCCCACCAACATTTCCAATTTCTTGTGAAGCCATTTTAACGTTTTCAACGTTTTCCGAAAACACAAAAAATAAGTTCGTTCACCGAAGTGACAAACTACGTTTTTAGATTGTTTACCGCAGTACTACAACCAAGGAAAATACGTTTTAGGATTGTTTACCGGAGTAGAACAATCACCGAATACGTTTTAAGATTGTTGGGGGTGTTTCGGAAAAATGAAGAACTATTAATTAATAAAAATAATTAATTAATTAATAAAATAGCTAAAAGAAAACAGAAAATAAGATGGAGCAGATTTTAGCCATGTCCTTAAAACGTATTCGTCGCCTCCCACGGTGCTAGGAGCGTTGCAACGACCGTTTCCCAGGATACGGTGGCTAACGAACACACAAACGAAAGTTTCGGCGAACTGGAACACAGTAAGAACACTTAGGAAATTTCGGAGTAGCTGGAAGTGTTTTTAGCTCAAGAAAACGTGAGGAATGTATTGTGTGTTGTGTCTTGTTGCAAAGCACCTGCCAGCTATTTATATGAGGATTTGTTGTGTGTTAAATGAGGTGTTAATGGACCTGAACGTTGGACATCAATGACCAGTCCGTTGGGCATTGAATCGTCCATAAACTGTCCATTTAACGCAACATTGAAAGACAAGAACGTTGGGCATTTATTGCTGTAACGGACCATTAGACCGTATCTTTAAATGATAAATTTTTCGGACGGCGTTCGTGTCTACAGGTCACCGGCGCACACGAGTCACGGTTTTTCTTCTCCGTTTCGGGATTTGATCGGTTTAGGAGGTTCCAATTAAGGTTTACGATGTTTGTCTGACGATAAAGCAACTTAATCCCTACTCACATTTTGATTATTTTTAGTAAATAAAATTTACATATTCAGAAACTACATTAAAACCGCTACAAAGCCTGATAAAAAAATGAAATTTGATATAAATTTGATATATATATATATATAAAGCAAAAGATTACGATGGATTTAAGTTGACCATGTGAATAGTGGACGAAACCTTTGAATGTGACAGAGGGAGTAACTAATTTTCTAATTTTCTATATGAAATACGTTTTGTACCGAAGTCGTATTTAACTAACTAAAAACTCAAGACTTAGCCGACGTCATTTGGGGCAGTTCCCGGTGGATTTTTTTGATGAATTTTTTGAGAATCTTATTCATTAAGTCTAGTTTACTCATATCAAATTTGAACTAAAACTTCAATCGGGAAGGCATTCAAATGAATTCTCGAAGATAACTGCTCTTTTAACTGCAGTTATCTTCAAGAATTCATTTGTATGCCTTTCCGATTGAAGTTTTAGTTCAAATTTGATATGAGTAAACTAGACTTAATGAATAAGATTCTCAAAAAATTTCATCAAAACATTCCATCGGGAACCACCCCAAATGACGTCGGCCAGATACAGCAACCTAAATATGGCCTTATTTGATATTTTTTTCAAGTTTGAGGCCCTATCTAACCCTTATTCCATTTTTTTCAAAGAGAAATGAACTGCATTGATGAGATAATAAAGTGCGTAGTGGTTTACCTACAAAGTGTGACATCAATAAGCCTACAAGATCAATAAGAAAAAATATGTAACATGGAGAACCGCGGCCTTTTATTTTACCATCATAGTAAAATTAGTTGTGGTGGTAGTAGTGGCGATGGTGCTCACATTCCACCGGAGGCCCGGAGCCACTGGGAACCTGGCCGTATCCGTACAATAATTATAAACCATATGCATGGTTAGCCCGAACCCAGAGGACTGGTGGCTATGGTGAACGCTCATCTCCGTCATCGTCGGCTCGTCCCACCAAAACCGCTTCTCGGCGCTACTGCTGCACTCCTTGTCGTGATCCGCAGGGGCTAGGGAGGCCGGGACTTCACACGCATCTAATACATAATTAAGTATAATTACAGTCAAAGTTGTGTGTTGGCAAACGTGAAAGTCAAACCATTGCAAAAATTAAAGAACGGAGGATAATATATCTCGAACTGTTAGTCTTTTTTGAGTGTCATACACATGTCACATGAAGTATATGGCATAAAAATCTCTTCCTTTTTACTTGCTTTGTTTTTGTGCATTTCTTATAGGAATAAATCTGGATTAGAGATAGGCCTGTCAATGGGTCAGGTTCGGGTCGGAACGTAGTGTCCCAGACCCGGACCCGCTAAATTAATAATGGACCCGGACCCGACCCGTTTACCCAGCGGGTCTGAAAATTTGGACCCAGACCCAACGGGTCTCGGAATCGGGTCGGGTAAATCCGCCCGCCAAGTATGATACACACACCATTATAAACTTTGTGAAAATAACAAAACATGTATGTGAAA